TCTTTTAAAAGACAAAGGCCACTCTTTTTTTGAAGACAGCAAAGTCCACATTTTGGACACAGAGGACCACTGGTTTGAAAGATGGGTCAAAGAGGCCATCTATGTCAAAATTGAACAGCCCTCTCTCAACAGAAGGGGAAGGATGCAATATCATCTATCTCCAGTGTACACCACAGTGCTTTCAGCAATTCCAAGAAGGTTCCACACCCATTTGCACCACTCAGGTGACCCTGATGACACAGATAAACCTCCAGGTGGCCTTAATGACTCGCTAAAAGAATGCAAATGACTGGCTGCTTGCAAGGAATATAAATTCTTCCATTTCCCACCATTCAGTCAGACCTGAAGAAGCTTCTTGGATGAGAAACAAAACGTCTTCAAGGAAGATTTTGCTGGAAGCGCTGCAACGGGAACGGTTGGGAAATAGCGAAGCTCTGACAGGCTCCGTGAAAGCCCAACCGGACATCTGCTTCCCTCTTCAGGTCAGAACCTGTACTGGAGGAACAGGTGAAAAGGAAGAAACATCTTGTAGATCAAAGAGGAACCAGCAGTTCCTCGAAAGGTCCGAGATAAAGTTCTTCAAACTGACAGCGGAAGCTGCAGTGGCTTTAATGGCTGCTTGAAAGTTGGGGCAACCGGACCTAACTATTTGAGCAAGAGAGGTGCTGGAACAAATTTTTGAACCTGGGTGAAAGAGTGATCAACCCAAGGTAAAAAAACTTTAAATTTGGATTAAAAAGAGACCCGGAGCAGAATTTAGTGGCTATTTGGCAGACGGGGGACTTAACAGAGGAAAAAAAGAAAAAAGGGCGGTGACAAAAACGGAAAGCCCTAGAAGACTTTTATTCCCAAAATTTGGACTTGGAAACATCAACAAGAATAAAAGAACTTGAGGGGAAATTTCCTTTCTTTCTTTTGCTACCTTTTTCTATTTTTTATGGAATAAATATGGATTTTGACAGCTTTTGACAGCTAGAACACATTGCCTACAGTGAAGAGGGAGAGAAGAGGATACTACAAGACCTACAGAAATTGACAGGAGGAAATACATCTGTAACTTGACCTTGAATGTATCAAAAAAAGATACTTTGAAGCCATGAGAACTAACAAGGAGGATTTGTTTTTGCAACAGTGTTGTGGATTGGACTTACTGTTTTTGTGGAAGATAAAAAGCAAATAAAAAGTGGAACTGGACTTAGAAATTGGAAAGAAGAAAAGGAAAAAAAGAACTTTTAAGTCCTAAGTGATATAATCGAGAAAGTTTAAAATTTTTGTTAAATTAACTAAACAGACAACATGGAATTTTGGATGTATAATGAAATACTTGATATGTTAAAAAATGCACGTGAAATGCTAAATGGGAAAAAAAGTGGAAACTCAGAGAGAACACTTAGAAGAAGAAGAAGGAGAAAAGGAGAAAGAAAAGGGACTGTATGAACAACAGGAAGATATTATAGAAGAAAAAGAGATTGAAAAAGAAAAATACTTAGATGATTATACTGGGATTTACAGTTATATACCCAAAGGAGACAAGGGGGAAGTGGCCCCAAAAAAGGAAAATAGCAAAGGTGGGATTAATGGGGNTATTTCTCCAAAGATTTGGGGACTTTAAAATTAATTTTTTTTTAGCAATCACAATGGTTGAACAGAAGTATTACCTATTCTAGGATGTCTTCTAGCTTGGTGTAGAATGAGAGATGTGGGATTGGGGTGGGATTCTACCTGTTCGGACCTGTTTGGGCGAACCGGCAGCTCCGAAGATAAGCAAGTGGGCCCGCTCGCCCGCCCCTACGCTTTGCCTACCTTTATCAGCTGAGTTGCGTGGCAGAGTGGGTTGCCATGTCTCAGCTGTTTTCCTTCCCAAGCAGTAATTTGGAAGGTAAGCCTTCTCAACTGTGCATGCAAGCGCAGTCAACTGGTTGTTAAACCAGTAGGGATCCTACCCCTGCCTTTACATTTGTATCTCAAATGTAAAACTAAACTGATTCCCCACAGCCATTCTGTACTGCTAAAGATATGGTAAACAAAAGGTCAATGTGATCTAATGCTAAAAGGGTTTGACAAGGATCACAGAGATCAGATCCAAGTCCACCTTCAGCCACGGAGGTGGACTTTGGGCCAGTCCCCTTCCCTCATTTTATCCTAATCCAACCACAGCATTTTCTAGGGAAAAATCGGAGGAGGAAGTGCTATGGAAGCTGCTCCCTAGAGGGAAGGAAAGGATAAACTGCCTAACAAACAAATAAGTAATGAATTTATTGACTCTGGGATGGTTATGTCTTCCAATGTAACAAAAAGACCAAGTTTGCTTACTGAAGTTCTACCAAGCCTCTCTTTTCAGGATCTGCATTATGTTGGTTTTATATTATTTTATTTTCTTATTCTTGTTGCTTTCAGAGAGGTGGGAGAAATATTAGAAGATTAAAGATAAAGATTCCCCTCACACATATGTGCTAGTCGTTCCCGACTCTAGGGGGCAGTCCTCATCTCCGTTAGATTAGAAGAAAAAGAACTAAAATATAAGTAGGAAGTCTTTTATAGGCAGCACTCCTGTGTGTGCTTATCTCAGTGTCAACCCTAGTCCTGGGTTGTATTTGTAGATACATACATGCCCATCACACTGTTCCCTTATACACGAAGTAATATTAGGCAAAGCATAGAATAGGAGTAAAAAGCAATAAGCCAAAGAAATTAATGGTACAAGAAAGAAAATACAGCTAAATCTTGTAAAACGATTACATTGTTTTGTCGTTGTAGGTTATTTCTACAGCCCGAGGCTATAACACCCGGCAATCTATTCCTGGTGTTCTGTAATATAGAGTGTGTCTATTAGGTCTCCACAAATCCATTAAAATTGAAGCCTGATTTACTTTCTGATTGGGCATGTTGCAGCACACAAACCTTGAAAAACTCCAATGGTTTATAATCTAAACAGCTAATGGTTTATGACACTGCTTATATTTCNAGAGCAGCAATTGTTTGTGATGTCCGGAAAGCCAGCTGTGACATTTGCCCTCTAGTGGACCAATGGGGAAGCGCTTGATGGATTTGGGGCAAAGTGCCAGGATCGATAGACAGGGCGGGAAAGAGGAGCGCATGGGAGGGGGAAGGGAGAAAGCAGGGATGATGGGCATGGGAGTTGTGGGATGAAAGGCTCCTCTCAATGGCTCCCTGTCAGATAAATCCTTCGGAGCAAAGTCCCAGGATCGTAGACAGGGCAGGAAGGATTGCCTGGGAGGGGGGAGGGAGAGGGTAGGGATGATGGGCATGGGAATAGGGGGAAGAAAGGCCCCTCTCAATGGCTTCCTATCAGACAAACGCTTCGATATCTATAAATACCCAGGCAATGCTGGGTTATCAACTAGTGTACAAATAAAATGAAATGAAGGCCCACAAGATAGGTGTATGATCCAGAAATAGATAAGTGACATAGTGGTTATAGAACCTCCCACCTCCGGTATGTGATGCTAATACTTCAAACACGCAACCTGTTCACATTTTTTATTCACAACCATTAGTAGCTGACTAGGTTCCTTTCCATAAATGGCTCAACTGTACCTTAAATTCTGTTAAAGGGACGGGTTGCTTTTTACTTTGTATTTATTTTTGCCTATGGGTGCTTGATGCAATTTCTAGCTGATTGAAAGAAGAATGTCTGTGGAGATTCTCAGTCATCCAGATCATGGTTGTCCCAAGGGTGCTTTTTTTCAAGAGGCAACTGGACTTTCTGTTTGTTGGTTTTTTTGAAGCTTCTTAGATGAGAAGCGAAACGTCTTCAAAGAAAAACCAGAAAGTCCAGTTGCTTCTTGAAAAAAAGCACCTTTCGGACAATGAAAGAACCACCACAGAACTTTAAGTTTATTTAAAAAAAAGTACCGAGAAACCATTGGGTTTCTGTGTTAATATTCATTTGCACTTGGACCTCCTTTTTCAACACCCAATTTGCCACCAGCTTCTCCCCTTTCAAAACACAAAGCGCTCTCCCCTCAAACAGGTGTGAAAGTACCATTTCATGTGTGTTACCATTAAAACACTTTTTTGCTAAGTTGGCTGACCAAACTTGCCCATTGCCACGCAAATAGTACACTCATTTCCTGTTGGACTGTAACAGAAGTACAGACGCCACAGCTTTTACAAATCGTGTGCTTTATTTATTGCTCCAAAATAAAAGCAAATGAGAAGGAGCGGTGGGAGGGGGGGGTAACCAAAGGCCAAATTAAAAATTAAATAGAATTGTAAATGGTAACGATGCAAAGGAGAGCATTCCCCAGAAATGGCACTGTCATTTGTGGGGATGTGTCAGGACTGTCCTCCTAGCATGATAAAATACCTACAAAGAGGAAGGATAAGTTATCTACAAAAATTGGAGTAAATAATACTTTTCACCTTCTTCCAAAATACAAGACGGGCCACCAGGGAAGGGTTGATATAATAAGTCAGTTTCACTATTTAGGACAGGAGATGGGCTGGTAAGTACTACTTGTATGTCCTGCTCCATACTGGCAGTAAGTGAAGGGGCTTTAGGTACAATATTCTCACCTACTACAGACTTTATGCTGTGGGAGAAGAGTACTGCAATTCCATTCAGAAGCTCTCATGCCCTAAAAGAGGGTCGCTTGATTGAACAGCTGTAAAAGTGTACTTTCAGACATTTTGGCACTAAGGATCTTTCCTGTTGTCATAATTAAGAGCAGAGGTCTTCAAACTTGGCAACTTTAAGATTTGTGGACTTCAACTCCCAAAATTCTCCAGAGTTGAATTCTCCCAGAGAGAATTCTGGGAGTTGAAATCCACAAGTCTTAAAGTTGCCAAATTTGGGGACTCCTGCTTAAGAATATAAGAGCCACACAAAATGACAACATCCTGAAGACGATACAAGGCAGCCAGTGGCTTTCTATAGTGTTAATCAAGGGAGACAGTCAATAAACCATTTATATCCTGAAATAATATTTAATCCTTAAAGCAATTGTCTAATACCAGGTGGGCATATTGTTTTCTTGTTATGATACTGCGAAGTAAGAAAATCGATCTTTTCCNCAGTTTTCAAAATGTGTAGATGCTGAAAGTCTCCACAGCACATTTAGCCATTCTTGCTGACACTGCTGGGGTTCAGCAATATCTGAAGCATCACAGATGTCCCACCTCTGCTGTATTGGGGGGGGAGGGGTATTACATTACATTACATTCCTAATTTTTTGTAAGTCATTCTAATTTCTTTCAAAAGGTTATAGTTGAGTCCATAGGATGGAAACTGAAGGCTCTGGCCATATTACCTTAGAGTTAAAGTATTTTATATTCCTGGATTAAAATAATAGCTGCCCCACAAAGTGTGGGGGGGAAGATGTTATATTACTATGTTGTGAGAACCACCAAAAAGGAGTCAGATGACCTAATCATGTATCCCAGTGGTGGGATTCAAATAATTTAACAACCAGTTCTCTGCTCTAATGACTGGCTGAGTAGGCGTAGCTGGGTGGTCATGTGACTGGGTGGGTGTGGCCAACTTGACATCACTCACGTCGAGAGGCGCCTCATCTCGCCTGGCCTCTCCCCTCCCAGCTACTCCTCGCCTCACACGGCTTCTCCTCGCCAGGCGGCTCACCTGGCCTTCAAAATAAGCACAACACAGAAGGCTTCCATGATCTCAAGGATTCATGATCTCAAAGGGTAAAAGCAACCAAGCAGCTGCATCGCCTCCAGACACTTCACCACTGTTCGGGCTCTTTCCCCTCAGCCTTAATTAGGCCTGAGGATGGTGAGAGTCACGACCGGACTCCCAGCAGCAATGCCCCCTCTGCTGGCCCTCTCCTGTCAGGGGGAAAATGGACAGGGGCCTGGGGAGGAGGTGTCTCCTCTCCAGGCCCCCATTCATTTTGCCACCGACAGCCAGACAAACTTAAGCAAAAAGCCAGCCCTCTCCGCTTCTCTTGCCTCCACAGATTCAGGCGGATGATCGGGCAGCTGGAGTGGGGAAAACCCCAAGAATATGGAGAACAAGTGGCTTCCAGCCACTTTACTTGCCCAGCTGCAGCTCGCACTGCTGTGTGTCGCAGTGGAAAGAAAGTCACCACTGAGTTTTAGCTGGGTTCAGCAGGCGCTCCAAACACTTTCCTGAACAGACTTGGGGATCGGGATGTAGGGTGGGCGGGAAGGCTTTTTACATTGCTCTCCACTGCCCTCCTTGCAGCAAAATCCAAGCCGGAGTGACAGTGAGAGAACTGCAGTTTTGCAGGCGCTGGAGAAGGAGAAGCCCGAAGCTCCTTCTTGTCTCTACTTGCCTGGGGAGGAGGCGCCGGGTTCCAAATTCGTACTAAAGAACCACAGAGGGATTGGATGTAAATACTAGACCATGGGGTAAGCGGGGAGTGTGATGAATTGGCATAATCTAAAGGCAGACAGCAAGGAGCTTGAACTAGAGGCTAGTCTTTATTCAGCGGCAGCCATCTTAGAAACTACCTTCTGCCCTAGATNACATCAGAAAAAGTGTCAGGGTTGGTTGGTCCCATGTGCTAACCCACCAAAGAGGATAAATTCAGTAAATCATGGTTAAGTAAATAAAACCAGAAGTCTTGTTTCCTTTTGTCTCACCTCTAAAGGAGGCCTTTGGTGACCACTACTGGCAGCATGTGGAAGTACTGAAGAGAGTACAGTTAGTCCTTGACGTATGACCATAATTAAGCCCAAATTTTCTGTTGTTAAGTGAGAAATTGGTTAAATGAGTTTTGTCCCATTTTACGACTTTTCTTGCCACAGTCCAGGGATGGGTTCCAGCAGGCACTACTGCCAGTTCGCTTGTGGGTGCGCTGCGCATGCAGGCACAGCGCAACAAAAATTGTTCTGTGCATGCGCAGAAGGGAAAACAAAATGGCGGCACCTACGGAGAACCAGTTCAGGAGTGTGGCAGGCCTGGATCGCTGCCAGTTCCAGACACCCAGGCCACCAAACTACTACTGGTTCAACCAGGAACCCACCACTGCCACAGTCATTAAGTGAATCAATGTGGTTGATAAATTAGTAACACAGATGTTAAGTAAATTTGGCTCCACCATTGACTTTGCTTGTCAGATGGTCACAAAAGGGGATCCTTGGGATATAGCAACGGTCATAAATATCAGTCAGTTGCCAAGCAGCTGAATTTTGATCACATGATCATGGAAATGTTGCAAGGTCGTAACTATGAGAAATGGTTGTAAGTCACATTTTTCAGTGTCGTGGTAACACTGAACAGTCACTAAATGAACTGTTATAAGTCAAGGTCTACCTGTACTCCAGGGGTGGGTTGCTCCGTGTGCACAGTTGCCTATAAATAGGTCTGGGCATGCCTAAAAATGCCGAAAAAAATATGCTGCAGCAACTGGGAAACCGGTTTTGGGCGTGGCCAGCCTGCCATCCTTACCAGTTCAATGACCCAATCACAATTTCCACTACCAGTTTTCCCCAGTGGGTTCAAACTGGTAGCAACCCACCTCTGCTGTACTCGGAATGGTGTTGAAATGAGCAGAATTCCCCCAAACCAGTAGAAATGTGGCCAAGGGATACCCTTGTTGGGAGAAACGGCAGAAAATCTGTAATGAACCCATTCAGGTTGCAAAATGCCAGATGACTCACTTGGGAACGGTTATATCTCTTCCAAAAGACCTAATGGCTGACCCTAATTTTACAGCCCAAATCTGGGCTACATCTGTACAGAACTGCAGTAGAATTGCAAGAGGTTGAAAACAGCAGTGAGAGAGGTGGAAATGTGGAACCAGAATAAGTCAACCCTCTTTAATCAGAACTTTTTAAAAATAGGTACTATAGGTACTGCAGCTCACCCCAGCCTCATAGAGAGGGTTGTTGAAATCAGATTCTACAGTGATGGGGCTGTAGCTGTGAGAGCTGGAAAAGGAGAAGCCAAAGAGAGTTTTTCCTTGGAATCTGCAGGAAAGCAAAAGAAGAAGAAGAGAATGGATTGAAACAATCAGCCTCTACCAGTTTGGAAAATCAGATTACAGAAATAACCCAGTGGAGGAGATTATATATTTTGCATATGGAATGGTTCAGAATTGGTCACCAGCATCTTCAAAGACCGTCTCTGAAGGAATTAGATCAACCAATTGTCTAATTGGCTATCAAGCAGCTTCCTATGTTCTGCAAACATCCAAAATTTCAATCATGTATTCATTTTTTAAAAAGTTTTCTTCAACTTTATTATACTATAAAATACAAGGAGAAGCAAAGATAATGAAGGAAAGGAGCAAGGTAAAGGAAAGAAGGGAGTGCAAGATAAAAGAGGGAGAGTGCAGTACAGAGTGCAGTACAGAGATAGCATTGTGCCGGTTCGCCCCAGTTCGGGCGAACCAGTAGCAGCGGTGACGGGAGGCTCTCTCCCCTCCCACTCCCCCAGCCATATTTATCTCAACAAAATTAATCTGATCATCAATCACATTTTTGTCCATATATTGACTTCATTTTATACCTGAGGCCAAGGCCATTCAAAGAATCAGAATGGATAAACAATCAATCGGCTACTCTAACTATCTTTAGTGGCAGGTATGGACAGTGGTTAATACTTTCTAGAACAGAGTTCCCCACTCATTTCGGCTTTGTGAGCCAACCTGTGTATGTGGGGGAATTTCCATAGCCTAGTTCCAAACAGCTTGTGGCCCGGGATTGTGGACCCTGTTCTTGAAGTGTAAAACATAAAAGTTGCTGATTTGACAGGAATCAAAGCTCCTTCAAGCCATATATGGAGAGTTTTTTTATTGTCACTTGACATACCTATGATCTTGGTTTTGAACTGGTTATACTAATGCAGTATTAAGGCATTTTCAACATCATTAAGTAGACAAATTATTATAATTGTCTCCTTGCACCTGGAAATTTAAACTGTGTAGGGTTTCAGGTTAAAATCTTCTAAATGGAATTAAATTCCAATTCGTCTCTATTTGCAATTAAACAACATATCTGTCTTCCAGAGTCACATTGCAAGAGAGATGGGCTAAATAACAGATAAATGAAATAAAATAAAAATAAATAAATAAATAAAATAAAAATAAATAAATAAATAAAATAAACAAAATAAAATAAATAAAATAAATAAAATAATAAAGAAAATAAAGAAAAATAAAATAAAGAAAATATAAAAAAATACAATACAATACAGTACAGTACAATAAAATAAAATAAAATAAAATAAATAAAAATGCAACTTAACTGGAATCAAACCACAGAGACTAATGGCACTGCCCACTGAGCAAAGCAAATATAAATTAGTTTGATATCACTCACTTAGTGTAGTAGATGTAGATGCCTCCAATCAACAGGATGACGAGAATGATGGGGAGGAAGATTGCCAGGGCAATGTTGCCACCTTCCATCTGGTGGGAAGGATCTGTGGTCTGGGTGACTACAAGTAAAAAGTGGTATATGTGAGATGTATGTATCAAACACTCTACCCTGAACTTTTTATTTTATTTTTCAGAATTTATACTCCATCCCAATCACAAATGAACTGTAAAAACCCAAAAC